TCTTATTCTCCGTCGCCGCCATGATTTTTCCACCATGTGCGTATGAAAACAAAGGCACTGCGCATGTGCGTTTTACCCATATTCTATCGCCATGTTTCACTTTCTTATCGTTGCCCCACATTATACTGTGAACGGTATGATATGGCCCCGCCCTACTGCCACAGCGTGTCTTAATCCTGTCGTCCTTCTCTCACCCCAACCAATCACAGCAGATGGCCCCGCCCCTCCCTTAGCCTGGTTCTGCCGGAGGTTTCTTCCTGTTAAAAGGGAGTTCTTCCTTCCCTCTGTCACCAAAACACTCGCTCATTGGGGGGTCAACTGATTATTGGGGCTATCTCTGTGTTATTGTAGGGTCTACCTTATGATATAAAACAGCTTAATGGCGACTGTTGTTGTTATTTGGCACTCACACCACTCTGACTGATATCAGCTGATACATATTGATCAGAGGCGCCACGCTGATTTCAAACAGACACGATCATTCAGTAACAAATCTGACCTGTGTGTGTGTGTGTGTGTGTGTGTGTGTGTCTGCGTGGTGCATTCAGGGACTGTCCGGACGTCAGGATGGACGAGCTGAAGCCGTTCTCGGTTCCTCAGTGGATGGTGGAGAAGATGCAGAGAGCCATGGAAGCTCAGAGAGATGCTGACCCCTGACCCTCATGCCCCTGGCACCCCCGTACATCTGTAGTAACCACAGATTAAATAAGAGATGGCCGTATCAGAGTGCAGGACGGCGATCATGTGACCAGTTGTTTTTATTTGTACTGTTTTTAAAAATTAAAAAATGTTTGTGAGTCTTTGAGGTGATCCGTCTGTTTAAGCGGTTTAAAAACAGTTTCAAGTAACAGGAAGTTCATCAGGTCTGAGCTCAGCCTGTGTGGCCTCATGCTGTACGGCATTCACACGACACACAGAAACATTTTCACCTTCTACAACAGGAATTTCACAGGTTCAGTCAAGAAAAAAAAGCTGGACAGTCAACGAGCTCCTTGCAGTTTAAAGAGTCGTGCTGACAGATGTTTCTCTGTCACAGCAGCTTTTCTTCATCACGTAGAATAACAGTTAAATATTTGGCAGTTTCACTGGTTAAGATCAAATGGTATGAAGATATGGAAAGAGTTGCTTTCCATATAATAATATAATAGTAATAATAACTTACTTAGTAATAATAACTTACCCCAGGACACTTTATAGAGTCAGAAAGAACAACAACAGGAAAAAGGTGCAGGTTGAAGAGGTAGTTTTGAAGGACTCCAGTGATGGGCGGTGTGATGCTCGTATGGGAGAGACTTCCAGAGGGTGGGGTTCTGTCCTCAGAGGTGTAGCGGCTGGTGTGAGGGACAGAACGCACACCTGGCTGAGGCCGCAACATCTGAGACAGGTCCTGAGGGCGGGGCACTGAAAGAAGGGAGGCGTGACTTAACCAGGACCCAACGGAGATTTGTGAGGGTGGGGGTGATGTTTTTTTTCTAGGAACAAGTCCAGAAACTTGTGGCAGAGGTCGGGGGCAGGTAAAGTGAGAGAGGTGATGTTTAGGAGAGGTGAGAAGTAACTAAGTACGAATACTTTGTTACTGTTCCCACCACCTGGATTACTGCAGTGAGTCCTGTTTGGGATTTACACCGAAGCCCTGGAGAGGCTCCAGTACGTCCAGAACTGCAACATGCACAAAGTACAAATACTTTGTTACTGCAGAGAAAAGAAAAAGAGCTACGTTCACTCAGACATGGAGGAAGATAAGAAAGAAGGACAGGAGAGGAAGAAGAGAGCTTAGATTTAAAAGTAGGATGCTCATTTAAAGCTCACATGGAAGTCCTCATGTTTCTAAATCTGTACGTGACACATGATTCATAAAGCTGCTGCTAAACACACTGAGGCAGACTCACTGTGTTATCTGAAGGCTGCAGGTTAATCAATCAACCAATCTTTATTTATAAAGCACTTTTCATACAAGAAATGTAGCACAAAGTGCTTTACATAGTTAAAAGCAGCCCACCCCACCCTCCAACTCACTCCCCACACTCTCATTAACATAAATGATGTGAATACACACATATCCCCGCCCCACACACACGCACACTTAAAGAGTTAAAATTGGGCTGGGCTCGCATGAGCCAAGTGAGGAAACACTATAACAGGGAGCCGTCTGCACCGGGAGCCGGTCACAGACCGCAGCCTCCAGGCTGGGCACACAGCAGGAGGGAGGCCAAGGAGCCCCCCAGCCAGGCTGAGAGGACCCAGCAGCCACGGTCGATCACAGCCCGGTGCAGAGAGCGCCCTGTCATCAGCTGTGCAGGATGAACGGGTGGGTTTGCTGCCCTGTGATGGGTTTAAAGAACAGTGTGTGACTGCTGCACAGCGGCTGTGGGTTCATGCTCACAGTTAGTGTAGCAGAGACTCATTCACTGAATTTCACCTTCATACCAACTTTATAGTAAAGACAGCATAAACAGCGTGCTGTCAGTGTGGAGGATGGACTCAGCCAGGACGGCTCAGGAAACATCTGGATGAATCCAGGTGTGCACATCCACAGAGAGCAGCAGGTCAGCTGATGACAGCCTGCACAGTAGACATGACTGTGAGTCCCCACACTGAGACATTGCAGCTGATGGTGATGTGACTGCACACTGTTCTGTTTAGAGGCAAAGTCACGCTCTACAATGGAGGCAACAGGAAATAGAGACGTTTTTATTTTCCTTCTGATTCAAGCTTAGTATAATTACAACTTAAAAAAGAGACTAACATTTGTATTCCATCTACTGATGCACAGACTCAGCTGTGCACAGAAATAGAAACGAGCTAATTTCACTTTCTTACTTTGAGCACATTTTAGAGCTGGTACTTTAACTTTTACTGGGGTGTTTTTCACAGTAGTATCTGCATTTCTACTGTAGTACAGAGTGTGTGTAGTTTTGCCACCTGTGATGATCAGTGAGGAGCAGAAGGAAGTTTGCAGACGATACTCTGATGTGGAGCGAGAGCAGGAAGCAGATGGAGGTATCCTCTGGAAGAAGAAAAGTCGGTAGGAAGAGAATACATAAGAATGAGCTGTCTGATTTATGGTACCCCCTCAGAGTGGGGTTTGTTTTTGTTTTTAACCTTTATTTATACATGCAGCCCCATTGAGAGTCATTGTCTGATTTAAAAGAGACCTGTTAACTTTCCCTGACCTCAGCTGCTTCCTGGAACAGGATCGTGGTCCTAGAAATGTTTTGGTGGAATGAAGGAAACCTTCATCACATGAAGCTGAAAGTATAAAGGGCCCCTCCCAGACGACTGTGGTGTTGGAGAGGGTGTAGTTGTGTACCCCATCAGTACTCTGATGGTTTCCCACAAACATAGAGAAGTCTGTGCATTATCAAACTAAAGATGAAACAGGCTGGAAGGACAAAAAACTCAGAGGTTTAAAGAATTCATTTCTAATATCTTCAGTTTAAACCAGAGGAAACATCTACGACCTCCTCCAGTGGTCTCAGGAAGCTCCCAGGAAACCCAGCTGAGTTTCTACTGATCACCTGAGGCCATCATTACCTGGTGTTTTTGGTTTTTTTACCCACACGTTGTTAGTCACTCCTCCCACCTGCTGCACAAAGTCACTGAGTGTAAACCGTCTGATTCCTGTAAATGGAGAGCCAACAAAACCAGACAAACAGCTGCAGGTAAAGCAGGAGCAACACCTGAAAGACCAGAAATTCAACGTCATTTTCGAGAAGTGAAAATGAAAGTGTGAGAGCTGCAGTCGAGTCCTGTTTGGACTTCCTGCTCTGACTGATGTTTACACATTTGGTACATCCAAAAGTACTTAAAACACTGTCACTTGACCCAGCGGTCTTAGCCAATGATAGGCCCGTCTCCAACCTTCTTTTGAACTCAAAACTCTTGACAGAGTTTGTTAAGGAATATATTCTAAAACACTTCTTCAGTAAAGACTCAGAGAAGAGAAACACACAGAACTTCTTGCTAGCAAGGGCAGCCTCCAGACTGAGACTCGCGCTGAGGACTGCCCCGGTCTTTATTTATACTTCAGTGGGTGTGTGTGTGTGTGTTCTGCTGATCAAAGGGTCATATAACATAAAAGCACAAAAGGAAACATCCTTGGTCAGGAAGAGGGTAGTCTCCCCCTCACCCTAGATAACATGGTGAGGAAGTCCAGCAGTTCATCTATATGTAAAGAAGGCACTTAAACTAAAACAGACATAGCTACGTTAAAACAATAAAACAAAGTACGACCTCTCTCATGCTCCCAGGACGTGGGGGTGAACACCCTAGAATGTCACAGACCTCCTAGGATGAGACATTCTTTCAATATGCCACCAACTATATACTTCTACACACAAGTGATTACATGCAGTATTCTACCATATGCAAACTTATATCACTGAAAGATTACTGACTACTAAGTACAATTTTCCATTGACAGAGTTGGTTGTAAAACAGCTAACTTACGAGGGGTCCAGGCAACGAGGCAGTGAGCTTTGAAGTATAGCTGAGAAAAACACACCAGCCTGCTAAAGATCAACAAAGAGCTTTGGCTGTCTGACCATAAACAGAAGTTCTTCTAAACGAGGACGGAAAAGAGAAGTCTCAAAATTATTTTCAAAGTCAATAAAAATCTGCTTTAGAAAAACAAATTAAAGACAAGGCAGGAAGCTATGTACTGGTTAAAGGGACCCTGGTAAATACATATATACTCCTGGGAGAGCAACAACACCTCACCAAGCAGCTATAGAGCTGGTTTACTTGATAACACATAAAATACACCCAAGAGCGGAATATTTTTTTCTGAACACTGGACAGAGGCAAAGATTTAAAGAATGCAAGACAGGAGGATGATGATGATCAATAATCGACTTTGCAATCATATCAGCTCTATGGCCATATGCTCCTGATACTCAGGTAAAGAAAGGGCTGAGCTGTTAACTGATCTCCACCCGGTGGTGAACTTGATCAAACTCTAAAAACGAATTCAGAGGCTTCGTAAATATCACTATAAATATAAGTTAGATGAGCCTGGTACAATCTATGAATATCCTTTTAGTAATTATTTGAGTTTGATAAGTTGAAATAATGTCTAAAAATGTTAACGTATGTGTTTGTGTTGAATTAAGGTATTTATTTACATTTATCTCAGACAATAAATTCAGTATGTGGTTCACAGAATACCTTCTTTGCATGTGCTTAATATTTTTGTTTAAAATTGAATCAAAACATTTGAGAAACAGGCATCTATACTCATCAGCATCTTGTACTAAAATCATTAATTATTCAAATCAATATTATGTATTGTCAGCAACTACAACTGAAAAGTGTAAGTAAAACACGATAACGTAGAGTAATTGAGTACCATGAGCCTTTTTCCTTGTTTTGTTCATTTTGTTTTTTAAATACTCTGAGCGTTTGTGTTTGCTCTCCTGGTTTGACATTCATCCTTCAAGTATGTGAGGCTTTGAGCTAAAAGGGGAGAGGCTCTTGTCTTTTTAGTGCTT